TTTTTTCATGAAAAAAGTGTGCCTTTGCACAAAAAAGGTTGAAAAACACTGGCTTAAGTAGACCTTCCCTTCCTCACACGCTTAACCGCCTCACACCGCCACATGCCCTATTAATACAGACGGTGTTGTAGACCCTACAGAGACGCAGAAACCAACGAAGGGGGGAGAACCCCCAATTCCTGGCACTTTCTCACGCGCTTAACCGCCTCAGACTGCCACATGTCCTATTAATACACTATTAATTAAATACAGACGGTGTTGTAGACCCTACAGAGACGCAGAAACCAACGAAGGGGGGGACCCCCAATTCCTGACACTTCCTCACACTCTTAACCGCCTCACACCGCCACATGCTCTATTAATACACTATTAATTAAATACAGACGGTGTTGTAGACCCTACAGAGACGCAGAAACACTAGAAGGGGGGGACCCCAATTCCTGGCACTTTCTCACACGCTTAACCGCCTCAGACTGCCACATGCCCTATTAATACCGACGATGTTGTAGACCCTACAGAGACACAGAAACAGTAGAAGCGGGGGGGACCCCAATTCCTGACACTTCCTCACACGCTTATCCGCCTCAGACTGCCACATGCCCTATTAATATAGATGGTGTTGTAGACCCTACAGAGACGCAAAAACACTAGAAGGGGGGGACCCCCAATTCCTGGCACTTTCTCACACACTTAACCGCCTCACACCGCCACATGCCTTATTAATACAGACGGTGTTGTAGACCCTATAGAGATGCAGAAACACTAGAAGGGGGGGGGGAGACCCCAAATTCCTGACACTTCCTCACACGCTTAACCGCCTCAGACTGCCACATGCCCTATTAATACACTATTAATTAAATACAGACGGTGTTGTAGACCCTACAGAGACGCAGAAACACTAGAAGGGAGGACCCCAATTCCTGGCACTTCCTCACATGCTTAACCTCCTCAGACTGCCACCCTCTTCTTTCTGTTAACCCAAACGGAGACGCGGCAACACCAGCGGACTACTCAGCCTTTGAAAGGTTCATTACGTCCACATATTTGCATGTGGTTAACACGTGGACTGACTGGCAGCTAAGCAAAAAAAGGGAAAGTGCAGGCAGTCCTCGACTTACAACAGTTCACTTGGTGACCGTTCAAAGCATTACAAACGCACTGAAAAAAAAAGTGCCTTATTGTTTTTTCCACATGTACGACCGTTGCAGCATCCTCCATGGTCACATGATCAAAATTCAGATGCTTGGCAACATTTAGACTGGCTGCAGTGTCCTAGAATCATGTGACCAGCTTTTGCAACCTTCGGACAAACAAAATCAATGGGCATTCCAGATTCGCTTAACAACCATGCTATTAACTTAACAAATGCAATGATTCACTTAAGAGCTGTGGCAAGAAAATTCGTAAAATGGTGCAAACTCACTCAACAAATGTTTCACTTAGCAACAGAAATTTTGGCCTCAGTTGTAGTCGTAACTCGACCTTAGTGATAAGAATGGAAGAAAATAGGAATTGCATTCAATGTTTGTAGCATAAGAGCTCTGGTAAGGTGGAAAAGCAGTAAGCCAGTTTTTGTGTGGGCCTGAAGAAAGGAAGGCCAGAGACTAAGTAAGTCATAGAGCAGGCCTTTAGAGTTCTGGTGAATGAAAAATCTGAGTTCTATTCCAACTGCCTACTCATCCTCCACACCCCAGCATTTATAGTAATTATATGAAAGTGACTGTAACCATAACTGCACAGAACTGCAGAGGCAACATAACTAAATAAGTGCTAGCAAATGAAGTGTTTTTTTCCAGTAGGATTGCACAGAATTCATACAGCAGAACATTCAAGGTACTGATGAAGGTACAGTAGGTTCCTCTGCTTCATATCTTTCCAAGTTTTGTTGACTATGTAAGGAAGGGAAATAGGTCGAGAGTTACCAAGAAGCGTGAGAGTAGCAGCTATTAGGGCGGTGCAAAAGGGTGCTTTGACTACTGGCAGTTTCCCTTGAGGGATTAAGATATTTTCATGCCCTGACCTCTTCAGGGTTTTCTCAGTTTATCTGAGCGTGCATCAAAAATATTTCCAGAAGATTGCCACTTAAGTGAAAGAAACAGCCAAATGATTTATGAAACCTTAATACAGTACCCTCTGTTGAATGAACATTGTAAGGAGGAATAGACTAATTACCATAATCATAATGTAATTTCCTGCCTCTGCTTTAAGTGCCACTTGGACCTATAAATCAGAAATTAAACTGTACCATGGAATCAAAGATGTAGAAATAATTCCTAACTGGATCTCTGGATTTTGATTTGAAGCAAAGATGATGTAGCTTGCTTATTCCTTTTCTCTGGAAATAAAAGTCACCTACTGTGAATAAAGTAAAATGTATTTTATAAAGAAGAAATGTATATTTTCATGGCTTTTCTTTTGCACAGATTTTTTTTATGTGTTTCTTTTATTTGTTATCTCCATTTTAGTTTTGATAAATTATTTTAGCAAAAAAAAAATTAGCAACGTGGAGTCATAAATGTAGATTTATATGGACAAGATTAGACAAATCTCAAATTAAAGAGACTGAGCATTGCACTATTATATATGTCCTATGCAGAAGAGAGTAAATTCAATTACAGAAACAGAGTTTTAAAAAAACGAATCATATTCAGTCTACAACCTAGGTTTGTTTTTGCATATAGTATTTTTGAATTTTGGCTGAAATAATTTTCCCACTAAGATAAATAGAAAAAAAATATCCTCCCCCCCCCCACCTTCATGGAAAATTAGTGTAGAAAGTTTATATTGCTATTGTAGATTGTATGCATTATAGTGAGAATGTTAGTACCTGAGAATACTAGTTTTATACCCTACTACTACAGACATGATATGTAACGTAACACCAACTCTATTGAAATATGTTATTCTGCCATATTATTTGAAGACAAATTACATACACATCACATATTTTAGAACATGGACATGCACAGAAAAGTAAGATGATATAACTATAGACCAAAGAAATTAAAGACATGAGCTTGGAAAAGAAATAATTAAATTAGTTTACCTCAATATCATTTGCTTCTCCCAACACTTCTATCTTCTATCCTTGTTTCCATCATGTTCATTAGCATTCCATATATTGCCTTTTATTCTTTAAAGTCACTGTTCTGTCTTCCATCCAACCATGATTTTCTTGGTCCTCCCTTTTCTCACAGGTGTTCAGTTTTGTTTTATACATTTGATATGCAATTTATTCAATACAATGAATATGATTAGACCACCTCTATTTTCCTTTCAGTGGCTTACAACCTGAAGTTTCCTGGTGGTCTCCCATCCGAGTTTTTTTTTCTTTTGAGGTGATTGTTTTAAAGGTTGTTAGTGAATATTGTGACATAGCCATCTTGTAGGTAATTTCACATAAATTGTAGTATTCAGTTATTAAGGTTTTGTGCATAACTCCTTGTTCGATCACTAAGTTTATAATTTACTCCATTTAGATTTCAATTTTATATTATAGAGGTGTTTTTATTATAAAAAAAACACTAGAAGTGTTTTTTATTTAGTGAATATTGTGACATAGCCATCTNGAGTCGACCTTGAGCCGGTGAGATTTGAACCGCTGAACTGCAGATAACAGTCAGCTGAAGTGGCCTGCAGTACTGCACCCTAACCACTGCGCCACTGCGCACCTCGGAATGTCGGGAGCAAGATGTGTTCTCACCAAGTAGCAACCAGTGGAACTTGCTTGTTCATAAAATGACTGTCATTATGGCTGGCCTATTTACCTTGGCTATGGTTGCACCGCAGCTTTAGTCCTATAGCATCTTTAATAGCCTAGTTTACCCATCTCTTTTTAATTTGTTAAATGTACATATATACAAACAAATTAACATAATAATAGATTTGGAAGGGAGTTATAGGTCTTCTACTCCAATCCCTTGCTCAGGCAGGACACCGTATATCATTTCAGACAAAGGCGTGTCCAGTCACTTCTAAAAACTTCCAATGTTGGAGCATTCACAGCCTTTGGAGTGAAGTTGTTGCACTGATTAATTGTTCCGACAGGAAAGTTCTCCTTAGTTCTAGGTTGGTTCTTGCCTTGATAGTTTCCATCCATTGCATGTCCTTCCTTCAGGTACTTTGGAGAATAAGTTGATACCCCTCCCCTTCTTTGTGCCAGACCCTTAGATACTGGAGCATTGCTATCATGTCACCCCTAATCCTTCTTTTCATTAAACTAATTACTAAGAGTACCCCCATTAGTTTAATTTACTAAGAATGTCTTATATAAACCAGAGGGATTATGGAGAATAAAAATGGTGCTAGATATTAGCACTTTCTGTTTCAACATGTTAACTCTTCATTTTGCTGTTTTTGTTTTTCAAATTAAAATCAGACACATGTCTGAAGTGTCAGACACATGACACTTATGCTTATCTTACCACCTTCATTTCCATTGTGTTAGAACGATATTTTTGCAACATGACTGTACTAAATCCTGAAATAATTTTGGTATAAACTATAACTTGATGTCATGTTTTAGGTTTGCAACATCGTGAATTTGTAGTGTGACTATGGGCGAAAAGAAACCAGAACCTTTGGATTTTGTAAAAGATTTTCAGGAATACCTAACTCAACAGACTCACCATGTGAATATGATTTCAGGCTCTGTTAGTGGAGACAAAGATGCAGAGACTCTTCAAGGAGGTAGGTTAATGCGGTGCAGCTGAGCTTTCATACATCTGTATAAATGAAAAGAGGCTCGATGTTTAAGAAATACTCATTTTTACTCTTTCCCCTGTAACTTGTACAATGTTTCCCAATAAGAAGCTTGATGTGCCTTTCTGTTGTTAATTGCAGCAGGGACCGAAGGTGATCAAAATGGATTAGATCATCCTTCCGTAGAAGTTCCACTGGATGAAAACTCAGGAGTGTTGGTAGATGGTTTTGAAAGAACTTTCGACGGCAAATTAAAATGCCGATATTGTAACTATGCCAGCAAAGGAACAGCACGACTCATAGAACATATTAGAATTCACACAGGTATCATTGTATCTGCATATTTAATATTTTTGTAGCATTGTTATACACTTTAATACATTTCATGTGAGCTATGTGTTTTTCTTTTATATTTTCCAACAAATGAGTTAAGCCAAGAAAAACAAGCCACATGATGTTTCTCATATGGCAGGCTTCTTATTTTTTTTTGTTATTTTAGAAATAAGACTGCAGTTTAGGTTTTGGATCTCGTTGGTTCTTGTAATTGTTAAATGTCTTAGCTGCTTAGAACTTGCTAAAAGTAGAATCCTAACCTCGGAACTCATCTCACTGCAATGCTTTCTTTCAGCCACGGATTTATTTGTAGTTATTTATGGTACTTCTTTTGCTTTATTATGATGCAATGGCCATGAAAAAGTGATCAAATTAATGGCAAGTGATCAAATTAATGGCAATGGCCATGAAAAAGTGATCAAATTAAAGCTTTCTTCGTGTTTCTCCAGGTGAAAAACCACATAGATGTCACCTATGTCCCTTTGCGTCAGCCTATGAACGTCACCTGGAAGCTCATATGCGGTCTCATACTGGTGAAAAACCTTACAAATGTGAATTGTGTTCCTTCCGCTGTAGTGACAGAAGCAACTTGTCTCACCACCGGAGACGCAAACATAAAATGGTGCCAATAAAGGGTACAAGGCCTTCGCTTAGCAGCAAGAAGATGTGGGGTGTTTTGCAAAAGAAGACCAGTAACTTGGGCTATAGCCGAAGAGCACTCATTAACTTAAGTCCACCTTCGATGGTGGTTCAGAAGCCAGACTATCTTAATGATTTCACTCATGAAATTCCAAATATTCAGGCTGAAGCATACGAAAGTATAACAAAGCCAACAGAGACTAGTGGATTGCCGAGAGATTCACAAGACCTTATGATAGATAACCCTTTAAACCAGCTATCTACTTTAGCAGGACAGTTGTCTAGTCTCCCTCCTGAAAACCAAAACCCACCATCTCCCGATGTTGTACCGTGTCAAGATGAAAAGCCTTTCATGATGCAGCAACCTGCTGCAGCAACTTCTGTTCCAGCTGTCACCACCAGTATTCCCCAGAACTCATCCCCTACAAGTCCAGATCCTCGTCCTGTACATTCGCAAAGGAATTACAGCCCGGTGGCCGGGCCAAGTAGTGACCACAGCGCGCAGGCCAGCACCCCAAGTATCAGTAACAGTCAACCAAGCACTCCAGCACCAACTCTTCCGGTTCAAGATCCTCAGCTTCTGCATCACTGCCAGCACTGTGACATGTATTTTGCTGACAATATCCTGTACACTATTCATATGGGATGCCATGGATTTGAGAACCCTTTCCAATGCAACATTTGTGGTTGCAAATGTAGAAACAAGTATGACTTTGCTTGCCATTTTGCCAGAGGCCAACATAGCCAGCATTGACTGATTTTTTTTTAAATGTAGACCGTGCTTTCTTTTATTTATTTGTTTAAACACATTTCTGTTTCTTATGTAATTGGAAAGTTGCCTTTGGAGGAATCCAGCTAACAATTTAATGTTGGACGCAGACAACTTATATTGTCATAATTTGCTGACAATATGTTTGCTAGTCATGGTGGTATTCTTTATACGGCTCCTCAAGCAAAAGTGAGGCTTACAGTGCAATTGTATCTTCTACTTTACTTTATATAAAAACGAAATCTTGGATCAGTTCTAGCACAGCTACAATTCCTTAGATTAGCCTGTGCCACAAGAGAGCCTATAATTCTGCTTTTCTCCAATTAGCCTAATACAATCAGTTTGGGGGTATGGGCCATCTGCTAAACTGCTAGAAAATTCTGTAAACATTATCAGCAAACATAATGCCTACAAGAAAATCTAGAATTCCCTACGCCCAAAACCTGTAATTGCAGCCGGGTGTTTAATGATGTTCCTTTTTAGTACATTGTGGCAGTAATAACGTGAAATAAGAGTTACAAAAATACCCACTTTCCAGTACTACTATCCTGTTTTTGGAGAGGGGGGGGGGCGCAGAATACAACCAAACAAATGCCTGGTGTTAAAACTTTTGCAACTTTTCAAAACTGTGGAAAAAGAAAACTTTAGAACAAAATGGATAATGTGTTAAAAGAATGTACCATAATCTTTTTGACTAGCTTTGCAGCACATTACAAATATTTTCATTGCCTTTTAAGTGCTGATGTCTGTGCTATTTTGCCTTCTAAGCAGTAATGACTTTTAATGGAAATGAAGCAGCAAGAAAGTTACACGATTTCGATGACCCATTCAGATTTTGTGTGGTCATTTTAACTATGAATCATTTCTTTTTTTGAAAACAGCATTCTAGTCACAGAGGCAACAAGGGACAAAGGATAGTTTAGACTTTTGATTTTCTTTAAAGAGTCTGAAGATGGTAAGGCAAGATGCAAATATGCAGAATCACATTAATGAACTGCAGCGGATATAAAATGTATGATACTTCTGTCTTAAAATACTTAGGAAAAAATAGGCACTTTAAACAAATTATGCTAGCAGAGACTGCAGAATATTAGTTTATAGCACATAATTCTTTAATAGCATACAGAAGAACACTGAAATGCACTTTTATTGTATATTTTTTTATTTCACAGGAAACAAAAATATACTTTATATTGCTATCCCTTGCATAACCAGTAAATATGCACATACAAACCCATTTCAAACATGATAGAGTGCATTTATTGAACTGTTTAAAAACCTTGCTTCTTTTCATGTTTGGGAATATCTGATTATAAGCTTCATCTTCAGAATGTTTGATCCCTCTGAAAAAATACGGACCTTTCCAGACTTTTGAGGAAAGGCTTTGGAAGAAAGAGTGGTAAGGAAAAAAGATCCCATTTACTTAGAGACACTCTTACATGCCATCTCTGGCCAGAGTATTTTTAGAATTTCCTGATTTTTTTAAAAAAAATTTGAAGTCTCACTGGTTAGCGCTGGTAGCGTCAGGGATAGTGTTTAAAATCCCTTGCAAAAGGATGTCACAAAATGAAAATTCACTTCACTGCTGGACATATCTGCTGATGGAAGTTGGGGTTACATGTTTTCCACCTACAGAAAACCACGAAAGGTATAAGAATCTGGTAAGTAGTTACGATTTGGGCAAGATAGCTGTTGATGACCCCATACGCCTGAAGCAAATCAGTGGATTCATGTAGTTCTTCAGAATGGAGAAGTATATTTCAAGTCTTTTATTTTTGCATTGCTGGTCTATGATGATAATAAAGATTTGAGTGATTGATATTTTAATTTGCAAAAGTGCTGCAAAATGTTTTTATGAGAAGTAACATTCAATAGCTTACCAATTGAGTAAAATATTAGATATTTGCAGGGTTTTTTTTAGACAGCACATAATTATCTACTTACCTGACATTCCTTTCTAGCAGATTTTCATCTTACCAGTTTCCAGTGATGTGCACATTCAGATGTCACTTAGTTAATGATTTTGGTCTTTATATAGCCACATTGGTCCATGCAGAAATCTAGGGAGTTTCAAAGGAGCTGCAGCCGATGCAGCTGGAGTGTGTTTGCAGTAGTACCTCCTGCCTTTATTTTATTTTATCAATTTTTAGTACTCCCATTGGATTCTTTTTTATTTAATTAACATTTTTTGGTGGAGGAAGTTTCAGAATATGTAGTGCTGGTATAGGGACCGAAGATTTCTACAGGACTTGCATTTGAAAGCGATAGTGGTCTGGTTTACCTCTAAATTAAAAATATAAATGGTACATTCTACCATTTCAATTAGGTTTAAATGTGCATGTGGGTAGTCTTTATCAGTGATCTCTTTAGGGAACGCTGATCTGCAGATATTTTGTATCCCTATAATATCACTTCATAGTTTTGCAGCTTCCAAAGATTTCTACTTGGACCAGTCTGGCCATACAAAGACCAAAATTACTGACTAGGTTACGCTGGACTCCACTGAGTAGACAGCGCAAGTCTGAGGTACTAGTTCTAGTGATCTGTTGATTATCTGTACAACTTCCAAACATGAAATAACTTCATTAATAGGTCCTTAGGAAATGTAGAAATTTAAAGATTTGGGCTCAGAATCAATAAAAGTCTAGCAAAAGCTCAATAAATGCTAATATTTTTAATATTCTGTTACCATTTTTTTAAAAATTCAAATGACTTTAAATTTTGGCATTAAGGTGGCAGTGATACCCAAGGGACACTTCCACTTAGAATCTCCCTGATGCCTTTTGCACTACTATTGATAGTGAACTACCTGTAACACAAAGACTGAAAGTAGGATAAGAACTCTGGTGGCGTAGTGGTCAGAATGCGGTATTGCAGGCAAACTGCCCACAGCCTGGAGTTTGATCCTGATAGGCTTGCAGGTGGACTCAGCTTTGCATGTTGTTGGAGACAATATGCAAAACAATGTAAACTGCGAGTGTGTGCTATAAAGCGCTATGGTATACTGTATAAGCGATGGTATACTGTATAAGTCTAAATGCTATTGCTAGGACCAAAAGAAAAACCATGAAATTAAACACAGATTTAATTTAAAGCTGAGTGTGGTACAACTGACAAAAAGTAGTGAGAAATCAGTAAATTTAAAGTCCACTATTTCAATGACAAAAGCCATATTTGCATGAGATATCAAAGCACTCAGCTTGGATGGAACAGTATGTTTATGCTTTTGTAACAGGAGCCAAAATGCCGTGCCTTTTTTAATTAACCCAGTTATACTATTGGACAGGAAGCACATAGCCTTGTTCTATTCTGTTATAGTCTGAGTTTTTCAACAAGAGAATATCACTTTAAAAAAAATATGCTATCCAGGTTTTTCAACCGTGCAGATACAGAACGTCAGCAAATTCCCTGCTGGAAGCTCTTTCAATCCCAAAAGTATTTTTTTCTCACAATTATATTTCGCCTGTTTCTAAAAAAAAATTTCTCTTTCTATTGCAAAGAAAGAAGCCTGTTTGTATAACCAATTGACTCTTCCTACAATAATGACTTCGAATAATTTGGACTTGGATATCCACACTCCCCATCTCACATAACATCTTTGAGCTATATAATTGTCAATGCTCGCTTGCAATAATGGGTAAATGCAGCATACAATTTGTCAGACAGATTACTGTAGTCTACTAACCGATAACCAGTTTATTCGTTGTGTTTTGCTAGGTAGTAAGGAGGGCAGGTTTAACGAAAATACCAGTAGCAACTTGGTGCCAGTTCTATCAAGGAAGCAAATGACACGATCATTGGTAATCCTGTTCCACTCTAGCACTTCACTCATGAACAATTTGGGGGTGTTCTGCCTTACTGCGCTTATGAATTTTGTATTTTAAAAACTTTATAAACATTTTGATTAAGATGCTAATGAGGTACATTTATTCACATTAAGCTCATTTGGTAACATTTTGGTTTCCTGGTGATAATATAGAAGTGGTTGATCATTGCCTTGTTCAGCTTTTTAAAATTCCTGGTACAACTTGTATCCCTGGGATTTCTTAGTATTGTATTGTATTGTATTGTATTGTATTGT